TCGGGTACAAAATTAATTATAAATGATGCATTATACTCAAGTAAATCCAGACGAAATTTACTTAGCTTCAAAGATATAAGACAAAATGGTTACCACCTCAAAACCACATCAGAAAATAGTAGAGAATACCTACAGATTATTTCCAATGAGGACATTTTAGAAAAGCTAGAAGCTTTATCCTCTGGTTTATATTGCACTACTATTAATCATATTGAGTCATATATGGTAAGTAACCAGAAGTTACTAGATAGAGATACTTTTACCATATGGCATGACCGACTAGGTCACCCTGGCAGTACCATGATGAGACGCATAATAAAAAATGCGAATGGGCATCCACTTAAAAATCTCAAAATCTTACTGCCGCAAGATTTATCATGTGCAGCATGCTCTCTGGGAAAATTTATAACAAGACCCTCCCAAATAAAATTGATACATGAAAATCCATCCTTTTTGGAAAGAATCCAAGGGGACATCTGTGGGCCCATACACCCTCCATGTGGACCTTTTCGCTATTTCTTAGTGTCGATTGATGCTTCCTCACGATGGTCACATGTGAGTCTTCTAGCTACTAGAAATGTAGCATTTGCGCGACTTTTAGCCCAAATCATACAATTAAGAGCACATTTCCCAGAAAATCAAATTAAAAATATTCGCATGGATAATGCAGGAGAATTTACATCCCAAGCTTTTGATGATTATTGCATGTCAATTGGGATAAATGTTGAACATCCAGTAGCTCATGTTCATACACAAAATGGTCTAGCTGAATCATTAATTAAAAGATTACAGTTAATTGCTAGACCACTTCTGATGAGAAGTAAATTGCCATCTTCGGCATGGGGGCACGCTATTTTACATGCTGCTGCACTGATCAGATTAAGACCAACTGCTGATCAAGAATACTCCCCACTTCAACTGGTCTCTGGAAGAGAACCAAATTTGTCCCTTTTAAAAATCTTTGGTTGCGCAGTTTATGTCCCAATACCGCCACCACAACGTACCAAAATGGGACCCCAGAGAAGACTGGGCATTTATATTGGTTTTAACTCCGCGTCTATCATTAAATATTTAGAACTGTTGACAGGAGATATGTTTACAGCACGGTATGCTGACTGTCAATTTAATGAGACAGTATTCCCAGTCTTAGGGGGAGATAAGAATGAAGAAAGACTGGTAACACAAGAAGTAATATGGAATGCATCATCACTATCGATACTCGACCCCCGAAGTGGTCAATGTGATTCTGAAGTCCAAAAGATCATACATTTGCAGCGCATAGCAAATGAATTACCAGATGCATTCATAGATACAAATAGAGTGACAAAGTCACATATACCAACATCTAATGCACCTGCTCATATTGAAGTAATCCCAGAAGCGATTACCATACAAAGAAAGCGTGGGAGACCAATCGGTTCCAAAGATAAGAACCCAAGAAAACGAAAGGAGCAAACTTGTGCAGTTGGTGAAACCACAGAGAAGATTATGAAAGATACCCCTGTAGAGGTAAATGTCCCAGAAGAGACTAATACATTTCCAGAGGAAAATGATATTCTTGAAGAAAGACCGGTACCAAATGAAAATGAGATCTCTATTAATTATGTACAAGATAGTACAATATGGAACAGACATGAAACACGTGTTGATGAAATTTTTGCATATGCTATAGCAATGGATGTACTAAATGAGAATGATTACATACCTAAAACTCTAGAAGAGTGCATGCACAGGAATGATTGGCCTAAATGGAAAGAGGCCGTGAACGCTGAACTTGATTCACTTCACAAACGAAATGTTTTCGGACCTGTAGTCCGAACACCCATAGACGTCAAACCAGTGGGTTATAAATGGGTGTTTGCAATAAAAAGAAATGAAAAGAATGAGATTATGCGATATAAGGCACGACTTGTAGCACAAGGGTTTTCCCAAATCCCAAGAGTTGATTATGAGGAAACGTACTCCCCTGTAGTGGATGCGATAACCCTTAGATTCTTAATCGGCCTCACAATCTCAGAAGGACTTCAGATGAAACTTATGGATGTTGTCACTGCATACTTATATGGGATACTTGAGAATAACATCTACATGAAAATCCCTAAAGGATTCAAAATGCCAGAAGCATTAAAATCAGTACCTCGAGACATGTGTGCTATACAACTCAAAAGATCTTTATATGGTCTCAAGCAATCTGGTCGTATGTGGTACAATCGACTTAGCGAATATCTTGAAAAGCATGGCTTTAAATCTAATGTAATTAGTCCATGTGTTTTCATAAAAAGATCACTCTCTAAATTCACTATTGTAGCAGTTTATGTTGATGATATAAACATCATTGGATCTCCTGAAGAGATAGAAAAAACTGCTGAGCTTTTAAAGAAGGAATTTGAGATGAAAGA